GGATGGGCTTTGGCTATATCCACTCATTAGGTATAGCCACTTGCAACTGAGCGCTAATGGAATAACAAACCCTGTGTTGTTTACTTAGCTTTCATAGAATGCTGCAATTTTTGTCATCCAGATAAAGAAACAATTGAATTTCCGCCATCTGCAGTGAATCATGGTGACCAATGTGTACTACATGCTCTCCAGTGAGGAAGATGTTAGCTCTCACTGTGCTTCCCTCCTCCCCTTGCGTGTATGTCAGGGAAAGAACCAAAAGAATAAGACAAATTGCCCAGTTCTCCACAACCCTGCGCCTTGTGCAGTCAGGTAATATTCAACAGAAGTGGATATAAAATGCTACTTTTGCACAACTGTAAATGGCTGTTTAAAGTACAGGGAAATGGTGAACTGTACAGAAGGCCAAAAGCTGGCCATTTGGAAGTCAGTTTCCATACCAAGACACTTGCTGAAGAGGTTTGTTGTTGGGTTTGTGATTGCTGATTTATCTCATTTTTTTGCATTACATATAAATGAACAGGCCTTCCTGACTGCTACTCCTATTTCTACTGGATTATTCCACCCGCTTACATGGTGGCTCCCCTGGAGAGCTCTGAGGCAGGGCTGAAATCACAAAGTTCACAAAGATGCTGTTCTTTCTTTAGTTAGCGAAGAACAAATTGGCTCTGAAAGCACAGGTGAATTCTACTGGTGAATTGTGGAAACAAAGGCCACTGAATTGCTAACCTTCTTCGAAGGAATTTCCTGGTGCTCTGGCAGGGTGAGGTAGTAGGTTGTGTGGTTTCAGGGTAGTGATTTTGCCCCAATCAGGAGATAACTATACAACCTACTGCCTTCCCTGATGAGCAGTATTGCAGCATCTCAGAAACTCTTAATCCTTTCTATTGTAAGTGAAACCAGGATTGAATCTACCTCCGTGACCAGAAAAGTGAGCCTATGTGAAACTGGAGCGATCTTGTCAAAAGCAGCTTTTGATCTTAACTATAGGAGAAGGAAGCACTTGCAGATTAACTGTGTGTTTGTTTTTAAGTGTATGTTTTAAATTGCATTTATCAAAAGAAATAAAATAAAGACAAGTTTTGTTTGTTTCCAAATTTTGTCTGTTCCTGATGTATTTGATTTCTGCCCTGATTCATGTATATGGAAAGAAGTTATAATGGGAGCCAATGCCCAAAGTACTGTGACCTCATATTCTTCATTTGCATATGCCCATTTCTTTCTAACTTAAGTGCAATTTACCTCCCTACACACTGGTCACGTTGAGCAATATAACAACCTGCTTTCCCTCTGAGAATCTCAAAGTACTTTATAAACACTACAGAACTAAGTCAAACAGCAGCCTTCTCTGAGCTCAATGTTATCACTAGTTCTTAGATAAAGGATTGTGACACAGGAGGTTAAGTGCCTTATTTTAAAGAGCCTGCACTGACTTTGTGCCATCAGTTTTTTACACAGGGAGTTCAGCAGACTCTGCACAGAATATAAGTAGCTACCTACTTAATATGTCCTACAAAACAGCTTGCTAGACTGGTAAGTGCCATAACATTGTACCCCAAAAATCATGGGGAGAAAATGAGAGGCCAGGGAACATATTAAGAACAAGGTTTGAAGTGTTGGCACACAAAGCTATGGAAGAAAAGGAATAGGACCCTTGGTCCTCAAGTCCTACACCTATATGTTAAAGCCATCTTTCCTCTCCTGCAAAACAGACACTCCAGGTAACTGCACACAAGCAAAAGAGTAAAGGTTGTAACATATAAGAGCAAATGTCTCATTATGTCTGGTTATGTGCAGAAGCTTTAATCATATACTGTACATCATTCCCCAGCTGCAGATTGCTACTAACAGTAAAAACTACTGCAGTCTTCTGTGTCTTTCTCCATTATATACCATATACAGGAAGACATACTGCTGGGAGCTCCTTGTACTGGGAGCTCATTCCTCCCTTTGCCACATTAGGGGTGCTGAGTCCTCCCTGTCCATCCCCTCCCCCACTTTCCATAGCATTGTCACCTCACTACCCCTGGCTAATGAGCTTCTCAAAAATGAGCAGATTTTTTTTAATAACGTGGCAAAATTATCAGTTTAACAAAAGTATCCTCCTGTTTTGTCAGGCTAATACAATTCCACTTTCCTCAGCCAACACTGATTTTAGGTGTTAGAAAGTAAAGGTAATTATTAGGGATGACAGAAGCTGATAAAATGCAAGTGCCAGTGGCTATCAGAAATGGTTACTTTTAAAGGCTCTTCTCCTGCAGTTCCTTAGCCATGTGTTTAACCAAGGAAGTGGCCCCACAGTCGCTTCAAATTCACTGTCCATCAGGTCTATTCTCTACTTCCCTAATAATGAAGGGATGTTATTAGCTCCCCAGAGATCATCACTCTTGGGATGGTAAAGCATAAAGACAGCATTATAGCTTATAAGATAGCTTTATAGAGGCACAGCCTGCACATGCATGTTTTCAAGCCTGTGACAAAGTAAAATGAGCATGTTTAAGAAGCATTTTCCCTAATAGTTTGTAGCTAATGTATGTATGGAACAAATCCTGTGAGATGTTGATTCCCGTCATTCCCACTCAACATCAAATTGCATAAATCCTGGCTTTGATGACAATCAAAGACATTCAGTGTCTCTCAAGATGTGGTCTATCGTTAATACCTTTAAGGAACAATTAGAAACATTTATCTGATTTGAGCCCATAGACTGGAAAGCAGGAATTGGTGAGAGAGGAAAAAGTTCCCCAGAAGTCCAAAAAATATGAGAGAGCTGGAAAGATCGCGTTTGGTTTTAATTTTCTTTTCTTCTTGCTCTATAAAGAGGATCTCATAATTTAAAACTGCTGCTATTGCTACTAATCATAGTAGCTGTGCTCCAGTACTCAGAGAGCTGCCCTACAAGTCCTGTTCTTTCCTTCTGCTGAGAGTCGAGTCTAAAGGCACAGCTGCAGTGTGAATAACTTAGACAAAAATCACAAGTCACACCTTATCTTGCGAATGGCTTAAACATCCTGATCATCTCCCTGACATCTGGGTATGAAACAGCCTGGAAATTCCCAGGTGATTCACGCGTTCAGTAAACACTTGGTGAATGCTAAATGTGGGAGCCAGGTTGTAGGGATGGGAGCTGCTTTGCACATTCTACAAGAGTCTGTTAGATCTCTACTCAGAAGCAATGTTAAAATCTTTTGGTTCTGCCTGGATCAGCATTTTGTTCTCAGTAACGAGCTGTGAGTTTTCAGATTCTAGTCATTCTGGGAATCCCATTAAAAGGAAGGGCCAAAACAATCCATATAACTCTCTTTGCTAGGATCTACAATAAATGCAAAAACATGTGCCTATATTTAGCAGTGAGAAGGCTTGCAGTTAATCATGTCTGTCCTGAGCAGTAGGTGTCATTACACCTAATGGGAATTGCAGTAGAAACTTTGGAAGCACAACATGGTAGCATCCAGTATTTCCCAGAATTGGATCCTGAAATTGTTTGTGTCATGGTGTAGGTATTTGAACTGGAGTCATTGTGGAAAGTGAGCATTTAGAAAAAAGTCATGTCAGTATTAGTTCTGTTTTAGTTAAATGTACTTCTTTGCAGCCCACATTAAGTTGGAGGAAAAAAGCACAACTAAGATTTACATAACAAAAACAGTGCAAGTTGATGTCAGAGTTGGCTGTAGCTGGATCGTCCATGTCCTTTTAAACATTTTCAGTGCAACAGCATGATTCATTCATGGCAGAATCTGTGTATATCTTGCTGGAATAGTGCCTGCACATTTAGTTAGCTGTGAACCTATAGGATGAAATCCTGGCCTGCCTGAAGTCAGTGGGAGTTTTGCCATTAAGTTCAATGTGGTCAGGATTCCACTCCTAATTAATTTTTTTCCTTTGGAGAAGTGTAATTTTTTAATCAAAATTGATCTTAGCATAATGTTAACAATTATCTTTATTCTTCGTGTGAATGATGCATTAGTTCCTCTCAGAGAGATCCTGCTGCAGCATATGAAGCCATGCAAAATAAATTATTTGTTTTTTGGGGGGAGGGTTTAATTTACTACATGAACATGAGACAGAAGTACAAAATAGGGAAATACTATTAACAAGGTGATCCAGCAAAATCCATTATGCTCTTAGTATTTTATAAACAGTATGGACTCATTACCCCACACTTGCTTGATAGTCCTCTCAAGAATGCATTCTACCCATTTCTCAGATGGGAAACACTAAGACAGGAAGGTATTAGGTGATTTGCTTTAGAATCCATCACAGAGAACATCAATGTTAGCAATAGGATCTTCAGCTCTTCATCTTTAGCTTTCTCCTATAGTGCTCAGCCATATGTGCTCCAGCATACAGTTCGGTTCTGTTTTCATGCTCAGTAAGGCATGAAATAATCAAGGTACAGCAGATAAATCAATTATATAGGACACTGGCAATAAACTAATGGGGTAAGGTCAACCTAAAATTCTTAATTCATTTAAGGTTTTTTTACTGCACCACAGCTGACAGAGCAAAGAACTCAACCTGAATTTTTTATAGATAATGTTCTTAATATATTTGACTTTGTCTACTTCCCCCCTGCACGTGCTTTTGATTTCACAACACTGCACAGGAAAGCACAATCCAAATTTAAATATACAATTATTAGCCGATTTTGTTTATTAAGACATAAAGACAAAATAATATATCTGCTCTCTCCATTCCCTGCCTCTTACAATGAGAGAGAACCAGGAGGCTCTGAGCCTAAGCCTCCTGTCTGCTCTCTGTAACCACAACCAGAATGGCACTGCAGCCAAGCCATTCTGAGTTAAGACCTGTTGAAAATTTGTCAGCGAGTCAGTCTTCTGTCAGAAATTGCCACTGTAAAAATTGAAACATTTCACAAGAGTGTTTTTTGATTTGATGCAATCTGACAGAAAAATATCAAATGGTTTGAATCAAAAGAATCTTTTCACATTTATACTTTTCTATTTAGTTTCATCTCCATTTTTGGTTTAGTTTCGTTTTGCCTTGCTCATTTTGTTTTGACTTTTAATTTTTACTTTTTTTAATAAATGTTTAGATTCTATGTTTCAGTTCATAGTTATAAGTTAGCTGTGTCGGAATAGATGTTCATAGGAGTGAAAAAGATGACCCTCTCTGAAAAGGTCAGCACTACCAAATTTCAAATATCAGCTACAAAGCTTCTCAAAGCCAAAGATTCAGATTTTGGCATGTGAGTAAACCTGTGTTCCACCCAACCTCTTCCAAAATGGCCAACTCCAACTGGTTTTGCTAAAATTTTCCACAAAGCATTCAACCTGCAACAGATACCCCATGTGCAAAATCGCCTGTGATGAAGCACAGTCTCTTCAGCCATGGCACTATAACACCATACACACAGGTACTTGATGCCACACAGCAGTTATCATTTGGAAGTAAGCTGCATAAACAGATTATGAAAAATGACAGCTTAATCTTTTTTTTTTAATGCAAAGACTGATTTTCAACATCCACACTTTCTGTTAGGAGGTGGAACTGCTAAGTGTTTACTGCATTATAGGGGTGAAGGAGTTTCAACCTAATCTCTGCCTTCACTGAGTTTCACACACACATGCGGATGTTTATAGATGTGCTCCAGGAGGTGGGGAGGGCACTTTAATTAGCAAGTTGCGCTAATTAAAAGCACCCCAGTGTCATGTGTATCAGCATCCCCACACTAAAAAATGGTGGTGGGGCACTTTAAACCAAAGCTCATTCAACAAGCTTTAAGTTCAAAGCACCCCACTGCCATTTTTCAGTGTGGGGATGCTGATACACGTGATGCTGGAGGCTACTGGAGTGTGGTAATTTGTGCACTCCAGCAGACTCGATTAACTGAGTCTACTCAAACGCACTGGATTTACAGCACATGGGAGCAGCCTTGCTGCATGTCTATAGGAGCCCATGGATTCTGACTTTCTGATTTAACCTTTATCTAGTACTGTCTCTTACAGAGGTTAAAAAGACACATCTCAAACTTGTGAAAAATATTTAGCAATGACTGTTGGAAAGCAGAATGAGTATCTCAGAGGTTTTGTTCTTGTACCTTATGATTTGGGTTATTTGTTTTGCTAGT